AGCCGCGCGAGGCTCGGCCCCGCTGTGAGGCTTCGGCGGCGTGTCCCTCTGCGCCTCCGTGTCCTCAGAATTCTAGCAGCCCACGTTGGGTCCAGGACACAGTGTGTGAAACGCTTTCACGTGAGTCTCCTCATCCGGGCCTCAACAGCGGCTCTTGGGAGGCGGCCAGGGAATGGACTATTGTCCCATTTTGCAGACAGAAAACTAAGGCCCGGAGTGGGGAGATGTGCCTGGGGACGCCCAGCGGGGTCGTGGCGACGGGAGCCTGGTCTTCCTCGCGGCCACGCTGCCTCACCGGTCCAAGGACAGCGCAAAGCTCGGGGATTAGTTAGGCCAATGACTGGCGATTTTTTTTCTTGCTTTTTTTCCCTCCTTTTCTTCTCTTCCCCAGCCCCTTCTTCCCGCTCCGCTTCTTTCCTTCCTTTCCCTTCCGTCTTTCTGTACCATCCAGGTCAGAACTGACTTAAGAAGCATTCAGAAGCCAAGTCATGGATCCACCTGCACGTAAAGAAAAGTCCAAAGTTAAAGAACCTGTCAGCAGAGTTGAGAAGGCGAAGCAAAAATCAGCCCAGCAGGAGCTGAAGCAAAGACAAAGAGCGGAGGTGAGCTTGAGGAGTGGACCTGTATAGCCTGCTGGTCTGCTGGAGATGCTGCTAGAAAGAGAGCTAGTGGAGCTGTGTGGGGAGCCCTGCCTGCCTCCAGGCAAGCGGGTGTCCTCCAGGCTTACAGAGATGAGCCCCGAGTCGCCTGCCAAGTTAGCGTCAGGTCTCCAGGTGACTACTGGCACAGAGCGTTTGTGGTACCCACCAACCGAGGGAAGGAAGAAAGGAGGAAGAAGGGGCATGTGCGGGAGGGCTCAGAGTGAGAGAGAGCAAATGTCAGACACCCCGGCACAGATGTTCTGCATTTGGCGGGGAGAGTGGCCACTCATAACCCGGAAGGAGAGGCCCAAGCTCTACACCCACCAATGTGTCCTTTGTTCAGTCAACACTTACCATCGATTTGTGAATAAAAAGCTTAAACTATTTACACTGCCTAGGCTGAGCCACATCCCAACATCCATGTTTTCTTTTAGTATTTCATAGCAGGGAAATACTAAAAGAGTGCATCCTTACTGCACTCTTCCCTCTTTCTGTTTGTTTTGTTCATTCCTTTTCTTTCCTTTTATAGAAATTAAAATATACAGAAAAATAAAATATAACAAACACCTGAGTACTCAGCACCTCCGATCGGGAGTGGTTAACATTTTGTCATATTTGCCTGGAGTCTTTTTTTAAAGAAATAAAAATTACATATAAACTTGAAGTCCCTTTTGTCCATTTCCTATCTTATACTCTTTTTTCCTACCCTTGAGCAACCATTATTTTTAAATATACTTTTACATTCAAATATATTAATAGATATCCTTGAACAACATACAATATTTTTTGGTGTTTAAAATTTTACATAAATAAAATTCCATGTTTTATTTTGCATTTTGCTTACATTATTTTTTTTAGAACTATTTTATGTTAATATAAGAATCCAGTTAATTCCTCATCACTGCTCACAGTAGTCTATTTTATGAATCTACTTTAGTATATTTACCCATTCCTCCAGTGATAGGCATTTAAGTTATTGTTTTGTTTTGTTTTTTCTGTTACAAACATTGCTGTAATGAAAAACTTTTAAATGTCTCTTTTGGCACCTCTGCTAGAATTTCCATAGGGTGTATTTAACTAGAACTAGAACTACTAGGTACATTTCAACTTTACTGGACGTTGCCAAATTGCTTTCAAATAGACTGTAAAAGTTTGCACCTGCATTAGCAGTGTACAAGTTCTCATTGCTCTTCTTTCCCAACACTTGACAGGGGCAGACTTTAAATTTTTATTAATCTGACCCATTCATTAAACAAATATTGAGCTGCTACTATGTGCCAGGCACTGTTGTAGGAACTTGAGATACATAAAGGGACAAAGCAGAGGAGAATTCCTGCCTTTGGGGCTTGCATCCAGTGCAGGAGACAGACAATGTACATAATAAGTAAATTTAATAGTGTGTGTGAAGTTGATCCATCAGCTGAAATCTACCTTTAGATTAAGGCAGAGCATCTGAGAGCCATGGACCTGGCCTCTCACAAATTGTTCCCCCTTTACTTCACCTCCCCGTCATCAACTGGATCCAGGCCCCCTGATAATTTTCCTGCATTGCACTTCAGTGAACAGTTTGAGGCCTGCTGTAAGAAACAGCCCTCAGAAACTGTCCTTTGTGCATACTGTAGGGATAGATGTTGTTGAAGACATTGTTTATGTCCTTCTTGACACCCTTCTGGTGAGGTTCCACAGGTTAGATGTATTTGTCTGACTTCAAACCCCAGTTTCTCCATAAACCCCAGTTCTTCCCATGTGACCTTGGATCTGTAGTCCTCTCTGCACCTCAGTTCCTCAGCCCTCCTTGGTAAAATGAAGATGATAATGTCTGCCTCACAAGATTGTTATGTGGAATTGAACTGTTATATGGAAAGTACTTAGCACAGTGCCTGGCACAGAGAAAGCACTCAGGGAACAGCTGCGGTTATTATCAGGAATCGCAGTGCTTCCAAGCAGTCGGCTGCCTGTTAGTGTGCGGCCTCTGCGTTGGACAGCTGATCGTGTTTACGTGGACTTGCTGAAATGTGATGTTGGAGTTGCCCTCTAGCAGCAGCTGGCACTTGTTGAACTCTTCAGATGTGCCAGGCACGGGGCCAACCTGCATATGCGTGACCACGTGTGGTCCTCACGTCAGGGCTTATTGTTACTCGGGTATTGTCACTCCTGTTTTAACTTTGGTAATCCTTCCTGCAATACGGTAGGGGGACATCAAATACATGACTGTGAGGTAAAAGGGATTATCCTCATTTTAAAGTGAAGCGATGTGACCAGAATCTCTAGTTAAAGAGGGATTGGGGGGCAGGACTGCTAAACAGATCTGACCTTCAGCTCCGGCAAAAAGTGCTTTGCCCTACAGCTGCCTTGCTTTTTTCTTTATTTGTGTTGCCTGGAATGTAATCTCCTAAAATAGGAATGTAACAAGACCCCTTTGTGGGGAGGAAGAGACAGTTTCCATTCAATTCTGCACGGATGCCACATTCCAGAAAGTTAGATGTGAATGAGAGATGTGAGGGTGAACGGGAAAGAAGGCACACGTGGCAGTGGAAGCAGCGTTTGATACTGTTGGTGACCCTTTCTACCTTGAAAGTCTTTCATTCCTTTGCTCGGACCTCCTGATCCACTTTGAGTCTCTCGTTTCTCTGCTTATTTTATTCTCCCCTTTCTCCTACCAGCCTGTCTCCTTGATCTGGAGGTCTCCAAGGAGCCATTTAATATCCTTCCAGTCCCTAGCACAGTAATGCGCAGGTTACAAATGCTCATTAAAGTGTGAATGAAGCAGAGGTTTGACTAGTGTGTGTGTGCAGCTGAAACAAGATGCGTAAAACAAGCACCTTTGTACCTACCACCCAACTATAGAAGTAGAACATGACCAAGCACTCAGAAGCTCCTTGGGCCCCACTCTGGTCCCGTCCCTGACCCTTCCCATTGGCAGTGCCTTCATTTAATTTCATGCTGTTCTGTATTAATTTACAATTAATAATATTTTGTAGTGTAACAATATATTGTCTAGTTTTGCATGTTTCTGAACTTGATATGTTACTATAGCCTGACTTTCTTCATTCAGCATCTTTTTTAAACCATTCAAATTTATTTTTTATTTGTTTTTACTGTGGTAAAATATATACATATATATCTATATATATATATATATATATAGATATATATAAGATAAAACATGACCATTTTAACCATCAGTATTATTTTTTAGAATCAGTTATGGTGTTTGTAATTATTTTCAACATTGTGGAATTCCATTTTCCTTAGAGATTATAGGATCTTAACACAATAAAAATAATTTTATGAAAAAAAGACCATAGGATCCTTCAAGCTTATTGTTTATTCTAGTCAGTTTTGATCATTTTACTTTCTAGGAATTTGTTTCATTTACCTTTTCAAACTTACCGACACAAAGTTCACAATGTTTTTCTGTAATCTCTATTATATCAGTAATTATGTGTGTATTTTAAAAATTCTAATAGTATTTGTTTGTGCCTACTCCCTTTTATCTTGATCAGTCATGTTGGAGGTTTGCTTTAGCATTTTCAGAGAACCATCTTGCAGTTTTGGTGATCCTCTGTTGTACGTTTGGTTGCTTTTCCATTAATTCTGCTCTTATTTTGTATTCTATGTGTCTCACTTCTCAGTTTCTTTTTTTTGCCCCTTTCTTGTCTTCTTTTTAATAATCAAGTTGTTTTCCCTACACACAAACATGCCCCTTCATTTTTTTCCTCTATAAATTGGGAAGTAGGATGTTTCTGCTCTTTAGTGGACAGACTGAGACTACACGGATAAAGAAAGGTAAGGAACAAAGTAGAGCCCCTGCCCTTCACCTTAGAATGTCTCTTGCAGTTTTCCTTCCACCCCACTGTCTGCCCTGGGTCCTGTCCTCACTGATGTAATAGATGCCTCCTAGGTGGCCTGTAGTCTCCCCTCCCTCCACTCCATCTCGCACATGGTCTCCAGTTATCTTTCCCAAAGCCCCGTTATAATCAAGTTGTTCCCCTGCACACCTATCTTTGGTGGCTCTCCAGAGTCAGCCAGATAAAGTCCAGATTCCTTGGCATGGTATTTAAGTTCCTGACATATTCTTCTTGTTTTCTCCGGTTTCCCAAACTCCCCTCTATAATATCCTTCATATTAGCATACTTGAAGTTTCCAGAACTAATCATTTACTTTTCCATTTTATTTATTTAATCAAAATATCCCTTTCTCCCCTCATCACCTGTCAAGTCGCTTTCCCAATCTCTACCTTTTCAAATCCTACTGATCCTTTAGAGGCCACGTTAAGTCACCTGCTGCACTGCTTCTTTCCTGGTTCCCCAAATGGAATTAATATCTACTTCTCCTGTTCCCTTACTGGTGCAGTTCTGACACTTTCAAATGACACCGCCTATTGTGTTTGAAGATACATTGAGCAATTGTGTCTATTGCTAACACATTTTTTTCCTCCTTTAGATTTATGCTCTCAACAGAGTCATGACCGAACTGGAGCAGCAGCAGTTTGATGAGTTCTGCAAACAGATGCAGCCTCCTGGAGAGTGAGCCACCCATGTGGCAAGCGCAGTGGGGCCCCGAGGCCCTGAGTCATGGTCTGTGAGCTCAGTACCAGTTTTAAGCTGAGATGGCCCATTCAGAGCCTGACAGAACCTGGCAAGAAGGCTTTTGTGTTATCCCTAAAACTGGATAAATCTGAACTTCCCGTATGTAACTTCGGCTTCCCTGGTTCCTCTGATTTGAATTGGCCCAGTGCTTACTAAAGAGACCTGTTTTATTCTTCTAAGACAATATTCTTTTTTTAAAAAACCTTTTCTATTGTTTGAGAAAAATCATTGTTTCTTGTGAAACTGTAAATCTCCAAAAATACAAATAAAATGTGCATTTGCTCATACTTTAGTTTGGGGTGCTTAGCCCTAAGAAGTGGATCAAAAAGAATGTTACAGGAAAGAAAAGGTGAGGTGAGCAGAGGGAACCCCTTGCTCCTTCAGGAGGGAGTGGAGGAGAGGGGAGAAAGAACCGACTGCTTCCAGTCTTCATTCTTCCTGGGGCTGAAGCTCTGCGGCCCCCTGATCCTCTGTTTGTAGCCACATGGTGTAAATCTGTGCCCCTTTACTCCCAGATGAGCCACTACTCAGGGTCAGAGCTGGAAGCTAGGGTCCTCTGGCCTTGCCAATGCGGACAGCTGGCAGCAGGCCTGCACCAACAGGGCGGGGAGGGCAGGTGCTTTTGCTTTTCCATTTGGGGGTGGCTTGATCAGGCCTAGAAATGGGTTTATGGTGGGGATATTCAGACTGGAATGTCTGAGCTCATGGATGTTTATAAGATTCCCACTACATTATAATAACCTTATATATAGCTCCCTAGAGTATGCAACTAAATCATTTCATCTCCAAAGTAAACATTTTGAGAGCCAGGCAGACAGCAGAAATCCAAAAGCATCAACTGAAGGAAATTACAATATAGTGGGACACAGTCATCTAACTCTGAAAAATGTATGATAGAGATAAGAATAGAGAGTGGTGGGCAGGAGGAGAGGGCTCTGTTCCTATAGAGCCAAATCAGAGCAACGTGGACTTCTTCGGATTTTTATTTTTAAATCCTAATTTTAGATTGAATGCATATTTGCCACATCCATTGTTCTACAAACTTCAAGAAGTTAGACCTGAGGTGAAAGGTGCTCTGGTGCCCAGCTGAGGAAGGTGTGGACCAGCCAGCAATTCTTGGTATAGCATCTGGAGGTAGAAATTTGAGAGAGTGCTGGATTTGCTGCTTTCAGTGGACCGGTGTTCTTTTTTGAGGTGCAACTTTAGGGTTCCATACAATACTGTTTATCTCTATTTGCTTTGGATTTTAGAATATGAAGTGGCATTTGAATATCTAGAGTTTAGTATTTTAGAGCTTAGGAAAGACATATAACAAGGTCTTAGAAACCAAATAATGCCCTCAAGCTTCCAAAATGTCTAATCTCTCAACGAATCAAAAGGTAGAAGCTTTGACTGTTGACATAATTGCAAAATTTTAAGTTACAAAAACCGATACACATTCAAGTTGGGCAACATGATTGTCCTGTGACTAGCTCTGCTCTATGGAGCCAGATTCTGTAAATTCATTGCAGCATTATTTACAGTAGCCAAGATATGGAAGCAACCTAAGTGTCCATAAATAGATGATTGAGTAAAGAAGAGGTAGTACATATATGCAGTGGAATATTAGCCTTAAAAAATGAAATCTTACTATTTGCAATGGATAGACCTAGATGGTATTATGCTAGTGGAATAAGTCAGACAGAGAAAGACAAACACCATATGATTTCACTTATATGTGGAATCTAAAAAACAAAATAAATGAACAAATAAAACAAACTCATAGATACAGAGATGATTGCCAGATTGTGAGGGGGGGGGTGTAAAAAAAGTGAAGGGATTAAGAAGTAAAAATTGACAGTTACAAAATACAGGGATATAAAGAACAGCACAGGGAATATAGTTAATAATATTACAATAACTATGTATAGTGCCAAGTGGGTAATATACTTATGGGGGGAGCGCTTTGTAAGTTATATAAATGTTTAATCACTGGGTTGTACACCTGAAACTAATATAACATTGAATGTCAACTGTAAGTGAAAAAAAATTAAAAAAAAAAAAGAAGAAATGCTTTAATGAGCTGAGTTCCACCCCACCACTGGAGTAATTGCAATCTGCAGGGCCAAGGTGGCGGCTGTACCAATTCTGATGGGTTTCACTCCTTTCCAAGGGATTAACCTTAGTGCAGAAGGTCACCCAACTGGTAATAGAGCTGGAGCTCAAAGCTGGCCCAAATTAAGCTTGGAAAAAATTCTGTTCCATCGGACATGAACAACCATTGTCCTCAAGGGATTCAGATCCCTGAATAAGGGGAAGAAGGGAAGGCCACTGGCCCTACTGTGGGTTGTTCTGGTTCCAGGCAACATGCATCTATCACAAGCACAACACAGAAACAAGGAAAGATTTAGTGAGGATAAGGCAAGATTGGCCCAACAGGATGGCACAAACCCCACAGAGGCCAGCGAGAGTGGGTAGAGCTGTTTAGTTTCTTAGGTGCTGTTGCCTAAGACACACTGTCTTGCCCCATAGAGCATCTGGAAAGAAAATGTAGGAGAGCGACCACATCAGGCAGTAAAAAGCAGTTAGGGAGAATGGAGAAAAAAGCAGCATGATGACACCTGGAAGAAGAAGAAAATACACTCAGTTTTTATGAGTCTGTCTTACTTGTATTTCCCACCCTCTACTCTCTCATCCCCACTCACCTCCCAGATAAACTACTTTTTTCCAGTTCTCAGACTCTAGGATTTCGTCATGCGGGTAGTAGCTCTGGTCCATCATGAAGAGAATCATAAGTGAGGCCATGCAGAAGAGAATGAACGTGTTGCCTTTGGTCAGGAGGGAGGTGGAGGCCAGAACACAGGAGGCATAGGAGCAGGGTAGACCCTTGTGTGTGAGGGAAAGGCCTGCTGGAGAAAGATGGGGATTAGCTGCTTCCTGCGATTTCAAGGTATCTGCATGAAGCAAGGCCCTGTCCCTTTGGGTTTTCCCCATCCTTGGCTCCAAATCCCCTTAATCCCAGGACAGTGGCAGGCTGTAAACCATTTATTCACAGAGATGGTGCATGGGCTTTGCATTGATCACAAGGTAAAGCAGGCAGCTAGGACCACGTGTGCGCCTTGGCCCTAGGAAGCCTCCATAGAAAGGTCCTCTGAGACCGAGTCTGCATCTGCACTCCCTGGCGCTGGGCTCTGAGGCAATTGCCCTCGCTAGAGCTCGGTATCTCCATGGGTTTTAGGAAACTGGAGTACGACCTCTAGTTCTAGAGTCTGAATCCACGTGCTTCATCCAAACGTCACATAGTGAGAAAAAGGCACAGCTGGCCCAAGAACGGAGCCCCTTCCCCCAGAACAGGGCTCTGCCAATGCAGCCTTCAGTCCCCAGGGGGTCTGAGGCACAGAGGAAGGAAGGAAAAGGGACTTTACAAAAGGAAGGAGAGGAGTCAGTTACTGCACCCCAGGCATCTGGCGTCCAACAGCTCCTCCCCTCTGTGGTTCGCTCGGGTAGCCATAAGGCTGGGTTCTACTCACCAGCTGAATAAAAACACAGGCGGAAAGCAGCAGCTAACACATAGATGACGGCCAAGAACCCATTCAGAGGCCCATCCACACCGAGGAGCAGGGCTGAGGCCAGGCCAAAGGCGGTGAAGACAGCAAAATCATTCAGCTCAACTCCTGCTCCAGGAAGCCAACGTTAGAAGAACTTATACACCATGTACATTAGTCCCCTTTGGTGGGGATGCTGGAACAGTGACAAGCAAGGTCTGAGGTCCCAGAGGGCAACATCTATTCCCCTGGGGTGGCCTATAGATCAAAGACTGGTCTCCTTCTGGCTCTACCTTAGACTGACCCTGTGGCCTTAAGCAAGGCTTTCCCTGTGCAGGTCTTAGTTCCATCCTTTAACATGCAAGGGTTGGACTACAACTGGACACAAATTAATAAATGATGGAACCCTTTTTTCAAGGAAAATTTGACACAGAAATACTTTATTGTATTTTCAACCAGCTGCTCTGTTTGGAGTAATTTTTATTTCCTCTCTCCTCCACCATCACAACCACCACTCCCACTCCCAGTTCCTGGATCAGCCCTGAACAGGGATTCAGGGCAGACAAGGAAACTGAAAGCCAGGCCAAGGACAACCAGAGATCAATAAGTGAGCCAGCAAAGGAGCTAGATCTAGGCTGAGGGGCTTCAGCTCCGACTCTAGAGCTGCTTCTGTTATACTTGAGGGATGTGAACAGGACTGGTGACTGATAAAGGCCGGTCAATGTTAGAAGATGGAGGAGCTGACCTGACATGATGCTCCTAGCGTCAGGGATTAGGGGTCTGAGGCCTGGACTCACCCAATTTGGAGCAGATGTTGAGGTGTCTGGTGATTGCCCTGATTGCCATGTCTAATAGGAAGCTGATCAGAATCATCCAGGAGGCACAGTAGGATTTCCTAAAGTGTAGGCCAGCAGGCCCAAACAGGGCAGCTTTTTCATAGTCTTCACTAGACAACCATTCTACACACCTCCAGTGCACCAATACACCTCCTCCACTCGAACACATGCACAACCCTGCAAGTTCCTCACACACACATCCTTTCTTATATGCACTGCTTTACATACCACGCACACACACACACACACACACACACCCTAGATTCCCTCCATACTTTCAACTGCAGTATTGAAGGGGTGCCCCAAACTCCCTAGGTAATCACTAAGGTCCCTTCCAACTCTAAATTTCAGACATATTCAATGGCCCAGGGGTCCTAGGTTCAGCCCAGCCTCTGCAACCATATTACTGTGAATTCTCAGATTAATCACTCCCCCCTTTCTCCAGGCCTCTGTTTCTCCATCTGTAAAATGAGGGGTTTGTGCCAAATGATTTCTTGAATACATATAGGCCTATTCGGATGATCTGTTTCTCCTACTGTGAGTCTTGATAGTTTAAGTCTTTTAAGGAATTGGCCCATTTCATATAGGCTATCAAATTTGTGTGCATAGAGTTGTTCATAATATTCTTTTATTATACTTTCAATGTCCATAGGATCAGTAGTGATGGCTCCTCTTATTTCTGATACAGTGGTACCTCGGTTTTCTGTGATCCGTTCCGGAAGCCCATTCAAGTTCTGAAAAGTTAAAAAACCGAGGGATCAACAGCCGACAGCTAGGCCTCAGGGTCTTGCTCTCAGCAGAAGCCCTGTGGCATGTTCGACTTCCGAGGCGGTTCGAAAACCGAAGCATTTACTTCCAGGTTTACAGTGTTCATAAACCGAAACGTTCATCAATGGAGACATTCGAAAGCCAAGGTACCACTGTGTTGGTAATTTGTGTCCTCTCTTTTTTTCTTGGTTAGCCTGGCTAGAGGCTTATCAATTTTATTGATCTTTTCAAACAACCAGCTTTTGGTTTTGTTGATTTTCTCTATTAATTTCTTATTTTCAATTTCATTGAGTTCTGCTCTCATTTTTATTATTTATTTTCTTCTCTTACTTTGGATTTAATTTGCTCTTCTTTTTCTAGCTCCCTAAGGTGGAAGCTCAGGTTATTGATTTTAGATCTTCCTTCTTTTCAATTTTTTCTAAGACTATTTTTTTTTTAGAGAAGTTTTAGGTTTGCAACAAAAATCAAGAAGAAAGTACAGAGATTTCCCATATTCTCCCTCCTCTCACATATGCATAGCCTCCCCCATTATCAACATCACTCACCAGAACGGTACATTCTGGCTCTTGCTACAAACCAAGGGTGAAACTACATTGATACATCATAATCAGCCAAAGTCCATAGTTTACCTTAGGGTTCACTCTTTGTGTTGTATGTTCAGTGGGTTTGGACAAAAGTATAATGACACATATCCATCATTATAATATCATATAGAGTATTTTCACTGTCCTAAAAATCCTCTGCATTCTACCTATTCATGCGCTCCCCAACCCCCAAACCCGTTTCTGGCAACTAGTGATCCTTTTTTTCTCTCCATATTTTCTTTTCCAGAACACATAGCTTTTCAGATTGGCTTCTTTCACTTAATAATATGCATTTAATTTTCCACCATGTTTTCTCATGGCTTGATAGTTCATTTCCTTTTAGCACTGAATAATGTTCCATTGTCTGGATGTAGCACCGTTTTTATCCACTCACCTAGTGAAGGACATCTTGGTTGCTTCCATGTTTCAGTAATTATGAGTAAAACACCATAAACATTCAAGCACAGGGTTTTGTGTGGATGTAGTTTTGAATTCATTTGAATAAATACCAAGGAATGTGAAACTGGTGCACTCATATGGTAAGAGTATGTTAGTTTATAAGAAACTGCCAAACTCTCTTCCAAAGTGGCGGTACCATTTGCATTCCCACCAACAATGAATGAGCGTTCCTGTTGCTCCACATCCTTGCCAGCATTTGCTGTTGTTAGTGTTCTGGATTCTGGCTATTATAGGTATGTAGTGGTATTTCACTGTTGTTTCAATTTACATTTCCCTGATGACATATGATGTTGAGCATCTTTTCATATGCTTATATGCAATCTGTATATGTTCTTTGGTGAGGTGTCTGTTAAGGTCTTTGGCTCTCTTTTAATTGGGTTATTTTCTTATTGTTGAGTTTTAAGCTTTGTATACTTTGGATTATAGTACCTTATCCAGTTTATCTTTTGCAAATATTTTCTCTCAGTCTGTGGCTTGTCTTCTAATTCACTTTGCTTTCCTTTTTTTAATTCTCACCCAAGGATATGCTTTTATTGATTTTAGAAAGAGGAAGTAAGAGAGAGAGGGAGAGGGAGAGAAACATCGATGTGAGAAATATCGGTCAGCTGCCTCCTGTATGTGCCCCAACCTGGGATCAAACCCAAAACCTAGGTATGTGCCCCGACTGGGAATCAAACCTGCAACCTTTTGCTGTATGGGATGATGCTACAACCAACTGAGCCACGGGCAGACCTGTCTTCTAAATCTCTTGATGTAGTCTGTTACAGATTTCTCTTCTAGTATATGCATTTAACACTGTAAGTACTGCTTTCACTGCATTTCACAAACTTTGGTAAGTTGTATTTTCATTTTCTTTTAGTTAAAAATATTTTTAAGTTTCTCTTGAGACTTCATCTTTTATTCATATATTATTTAGAACTGTGCTGTTTAACCTCCTTGTATTTGGGGATTTTCTTGTTATCTTCCTGTTATTGACTTCTGGTTGAATTCCATGTGAGCATACTTTATCTGATTTCTATTCTTTTAAATTTGTTAAGGTGTGTCTTATAGCCCAGAATGTGGTCCATCTTGGTGTGCTTGAGAAGAATGTGTATTCTGCTGTTGTTGAAGTAGTCTATAAATATTAATTAGACCCAGTTGATTGACGGTGCTGTCCAGTTCAACTATACCCTTACTGATTTTCTGCCTGCTGGCTCTGTTAATTACTGATAGAGGGGTGTTGAGATATCCAACTCTGATAGTAGATTCATCAATTTCTCCTTGCAGTTGTATCAGTTTTTGTCCAATGTATTTTGATGCTGTAAATGACTCCCAAGAGCTCTTTCAGATCCTACCTTTGAGGATTCTATGCTTCTGTCCAACACATGCTCCCAGACCCCTCTGAAAGCAGCCACCACAGCCTCCAGCAAACCTGCCATAGGTGGCCATTCCCAATTCTACACTCTGATTGCGACGCTTGGGTGGCCCAGCAGAAGCAAACAGAAAGCCTGACCCCAGACCTCAGCTGTCCCCAAACAACCTCAGCATTTCCTTTGTTTATACCTGTACCTATGTATTTAAAGGGAACTGGGCCCACCATAATGGCATAAAAACTACACTTCCCAGAAGATTAGGCTAAAATAAAGATTTTCTGCTGCAGTTGTGCTTCACTTTATGAGACTCCAAAAACCCAGACTTAGAGAATCATAAAATTTTCAAACTGGGAGAGAACTTAAATATCATGAGACTCAGATCCAGAGAAGTCACCTGCTGATGGTTATAGAGATTCAAACAGGTTAGGAAGACATTATTTGCATTATAAAGGATTTATCTATAAACAGCCAATTTGCCAAGGCATTGAAATATGACTCAATTTACAAAAACATCATTTGCTTATAACTTTTTGAGGCCCATATACGTGTCTCAGGTTTTCCAGAGCAGTGCTAATTTTAAAAATTCCACCATATCATGTGTTCTTATTTGAGAATCAAAAAATTTGAATGGTAGCCTGCCTACCCAAGGATTGTTTAAAGGCTACCAAAGCAGAACCTCCAGATTTTCTCAGAGAACCATTCTAGTCTGCCATAACTGGAAGGAACTATAGAGATCATAGTGTGAGCTCCTTGTTTTAAAGATGGAGAAACTGAGGCTCAGGGATGTGACCTAGCCAAGGTCACATACTAGGTTGGTGGTAGAAATGAAGCTAGAATCTTGGCTCCTTGACTCCCAACCCACTACACTTTCTCCTGCCTCCATTTGATCTCCATGTCTCAGTGCCTGGCTCTCTAGATTCCCCCCTTCTTTCCTCATGCCCTTGGCTAAGACCTTGCTGGGCCCCAGACCTACTTGCAGAAGCTGCAGAAGATGGAGAAGAGTCCCAGGATCATGTTGGCCAGGGACAAGGCATTGGCAACATCTTTCCAGGAAAATTCATTCATCTGGGGGTTACTCTGGTCTTTGGTCAGGAAGAAACCGGTGCACTGACCTGGGGCCCAGAGAGAGGGGTAAGGGATTCCTAAGGTCAAAGAGTCCCAAAAGAGGCTCCTAAGAACCAGGTAGCTACTGTTCCCCTAAATTTCATTTCAGAACTTTACCCTCTAAACACTGTTTCACTGGCTGGAATGAGGCAGACAGGAGGTAGATGGGGGAGACCCAGGAAGTAAAGACAAAGGTGCGAAGCTGAGTGTCTTGGGAAAACCAATAGCAAAGCGAGTGAACCAGCACAACGTAGTCTCCATGCCTCTCTGACTACACCCCTTGCCCCATGGCACAAACCTCCCTCCAGCCATATGTTGACCCTCCTGGCACCCCCATGATGCAGGATACAAAAGTATGGACCCTTCCCCCCTTCTGAGGGACCAGCCTTTTGTCATTGAGCTCTTTGTCATAGATGAGACCTTTTTTTTTTTAATTACAAAGCTACTTTCAATGCTTTGAGGTGAGCGGGGCAGGAATGAAAAGCACTGAAAAGGGGTAACACCCTCACCCCAGGAGTGACCCTGGGGGGCGGGGGGAAGAGGCTACCTGAGGGGAAAGAAGCACAACAGGGACCTGCTGCAGACTTAGGCTCCCCGATCCCGCAGGCGCAGGCCAGGCTCACACCCTCAGGACGAGCTGCGGCTGAGCTGCCTCAAGGTCCTGGTTCTGACAGGCCCCAACCAGAACAGCAGGCCCAGCCCCAACCAGAACAGCAGGCCCAGCTCCAACCAGAACAGCAGGCCCAGCTCCAACAGGGGAAGGAAGAGATGAGAAACAACCAACTAAAATTGAGTGTGTCAGCATAAAATAGTTCACCAGGCACTTTTCACTGTGTGCTCTCTTCTGATCCTGATGACTTTGGGAAACGTGCCATAATTCCCCCCCATTCGATCCTCACTCAGTTTGGAGGTGAGGAAGCTGAGACTCTGCCTCCACTCAATGTCTCTTTACAATCCCAGACCCTGCTGTTCTGGGCAAGAGCTAAGACAATCATGGTCGTTTTCCATAAACCCTTCCACCAAGAAGTCAGAGGCTGGGACTTGAATGAACTTCAGGGCTGGGAGTTTATCAGGGCAGTGCTGTGGGCTCACTGCTCCCCCAGGCCAGCCTTTCACCAAAGGGTGTCAGTGACCACAGTACCAAAGCCACTGGGACTTCTCAGACCTTCTCATGCCAGGGCCACTCAAAATTCAAGACAGGAAGCAATGTGAGCCAGAGAAATATAGGAGGAGAGGGGGGCAAAGGACTGGCTGCACACTCCCTCGCCATGAACGCCTCCATCCTGGTCTCTCCTGGGCCTCAAGGCTGACCCCAGCAAACCAGACACCTCTATCCCAGTCTAGCCCACTGTTGCCTGGAAGAGCAGCATCCCAGCATCTCTGCCTCTCAGTGGCAGTCATCAGGTGCCTGGGGTATGCTTGCCAATTATCAGACACACCTCATCTATACTAGTTCACTGTTTTTTAAAATTAATGATCAATTATCTACTATGTTCTCTCTCTCATTCACAAAGCAATTTCACCTCTGTGGTTTCCTTTGGCCCTATGAGTTCTACCAGGTAAGGATCACTATCTCTACTTGCCAAGTAAGGCAGAGAAGTCTCAGAGAGGGGAAGAACCTTGCTCAAGGTCACTGACACCCCTTGGAAGTGGCAGATTAAAACTTAAAACTTCTGTAAGTTTCCTCTGTATTCTGCTGTCTACAAACCATCAGGACCAAGCATTGTATTCACTGTAAACGCAGACTGAGCTAGGGGCTGGGGAAAATCCTTGGTCCCCTGTCCAGAAAAATAAGACTGATGCATGCATGTGGAGACTTACTCTGTCCCTTGTAGTACCTCATCTGACAGATCGGGAAACTGAGGTTTCGAGATAATTAAGCAACTTATCCCAGTAAATGGTGGAGCTAGGTTTTGAATCAGGTCTCCTCCTTTCCAATTCAATGCTATTTTTAGCATAATGCACAGGTCCCAGGTGTAAAAGAATGTGGACTTGAGAGTAAGGGCTGTAGAAATCCAGAGGAAAAAAGGAACAATCCATTCATTCAGCAAACATTTAGTAGTGAGCAAGATTTGGTGCCTGGTTCTTGGGACACAGAGAAGATTAAGACCTGGTCTCATCTCTCAAGGAACTCAGTCTAGTGGAAGACTTCAACCCTGCACAGAAGTGATCGGGATGCCGAGGCAGCATAAAAGAAGAGGCCGGCATGTTGAGGGACTTAGAGGTTTCTCAGGAGGAAGTCATAAATGAGGCATTGCACAGCAGTGGCCTGTAGAACTAGATCGTGTCACTCCCTAGCTTCTTGGAAGCCATCAGTAGCTCCCCAGTGCCCTCAGGATGGAATCCAACTCCTTCATTTGGTATACAACCTTTCATAATGAGTCACTGCTCACCTCTCAGCTTCTACTCCCTACTACCCTTTATCCCTTCCCTGGCCCTCCCTCTGGTCTTGGGTTGGGTGGTGTCCTCTTTGGGAAGCCAGGCATCCCACCCCACCCAGAATCAGTGAGGTGCTCCTCCTCTGTACTGCCACATCTCCTTGTGTCACCGCGACACCTGGCACTCTGTATTGGCATTGCCTATCTTGTCTTCCTCCTGTACCACAGGGAAAGTGTGGACCAAGGTTCCCTGTGCCCACCCTGAGGCCTGACAACAGAACCTGTTCAGTGACTATTAAATTAACAGAGTTCGTCACTCTGATGCTTCCCCGAGATCTTCTCACTGCACCAAATCACAGCTCTCCCCGTGTCAAAGCCTGGTCTGTTTGTCCTTCAAGAAGCCTCCTCAAACGAACTCTCAACAATCCAGCCCCTTCACCACAAACGACATCTACCCAACGCTTATGATCTTCCATTTACTCATCTAAAAATATGTATTTGCTGAGGCCTGCTCTGTGCCAGGCATGTGTGTTCTGGGGATGGAGAGAACGTGACCCAGGCTGCACCCTCAGGAAGCTTGGAGTCTGGTAGGGGAGGCAGACATGCGAATGGAAAGAAGGCAGCGTGGTGGTAGGTTGGACGGGGGATAGCCAGTTGCTGCAGATGCAGAGGGAAAGAGGCTGAGTCTGGGGGAAGGTTTCACAAACGTGCTATTTGTGGAGGCTCTTTAAGGATGAACAAAGGAAGGGCCTTCTTGGCAAAGGAAATCGGAGGTGTGACAGCGCAGTGAGGAGGCTGGGACCCCCGGAGGGGAGAGAGGCGCGGCTGGAGGCAAGTCAGCAGGGAGGCCACAGCTGTGACACCCCACCTGTGTGACCTTGAATTGCAGCCTGTGCGCAGGCTGTGATGGTTAGTAAGGGGGTGTCTTGGTCAGATAGGGGTTGAGAATGGAGGGTGGTCCGAAGAGTAGAAACGACAGAAAAGAAAACCAGCCATGGCACTGCAGAGGAGATGTGAGCGGGCAGAATTGCTGGAGGTTTCTCAGGGAAGGAAAGGAATGGCCAAGGCGGTTCCTCGCCTGGAAACCCCGGGGGCGGGCGCAGCCCGGAGTGAGCAGCTCCAGGCGGAGTGGTCCGCAGGGGCCCAGCTGCCCAGGGACTCAGGGCACCGCCCTCCCTCCTCTCCTCCCGCCCTCGAGGCCCACGTCCCCCAACAGAGAGCCGGCCTCTCCGGAGCTGGTCCCCCTGGTTTGGGGACACCGGCGCTCCCCTCCCCACTGCTCCAGTTCAGTCCATGCTCCACTCGAGGAGGACCACGCGTGTGGGAAGACGCAAGAGATGGAGCCGGGGCTGGGTGCCTGCACTTCAGAACAACTCCTTCCCCGGGAGCCTGGTCACTGACAGCACTGCGGGGAGGGACCTGCGCCCACTCACCTGGGAACAGGACATCCCTAGATGGCGTGGGGGCTGCACTCCCTCCCTGCTCCCGGCAGCGGAGGGGGACAGGCCCAGGCAATGCGCAAGTGGCACAGGTCCCAAGCCTCTTAGCCCCGGCTCTTAGCTCACAATCGCCAAGAGGCAGGGGAGGGGCTGCCGGCTTCAGCTGGTGAAAGCGGGGCCTCAATTTGCGGGGAAGCCCTGGGCCTTGGGGTGGGCCTGGTGCGGCTTGGAGGGATCTGACGGGAGGGGACTAGTGTCCACCACAGCCAGCGTGGGGAGGCTTGGCGGACCGAGGGAACAGCATGCATGGTGCTTGGGACGCCAACTGGAAGGGAGTTGGGAAGATACGGCTGTAAAGGGCATGCTGGGGTCCAGACTGTGAAGCCCCTAGAACGTAAGCTCCGCGTGGGGCCCTGGTGTATCTTTGTGCCTATGAGAACGATTAGGCATATGTAAGTCCCTCCACCCCCATCCCACCCCACCCCAAATTTGTTGAATGAATGACAAGCTGAGTAATTTACACTCAGTCCTGAAAATAGTAAGTTTTCAGTAGCAAAGTGACAGGGTCAGGCTGGCTTAGAAAGATTATTCTGGCATCGTGTGGAGGAAGGCCCTGTAATACTGGTGAGAGGCAAGGCGGTGGCTGGAGCAACGCTGTATTGTTGGTCAGCAACGGAAGGGAATGGGAAGTGGCTAGACTAGGAGCCCCGGTGAGATGGAATCCCGAGGAGGGAGGGGGAGGAAGTAAGAGCCTCCCCAAGGTGTCTAGATTTGGCCCCTGGATGAATAGTGTGCCACAGAAATTAATTTGTTAGGACTGGGTAGGACCCCAGGCACCAGTTCCAACACCAGCCACACTTCTCCCACCTACCCTAAAGCTAAGTTACAGAAGCATATGCAACGAGAAGGGGAGGAGCTAGGAGCTCAAGTGACACTTTGCTTCTCACAACCTGGAGGGGAAAGAACAGTACAGGATCTAGTGTGTCCTGAGTGGCTACTAGCCCAGGGCACTGTGCTCAGTGCTTTACAGACATTACCATCATTTTCTGGATTTTCTCAAATGCCCCTGAGGTATTAGCATTCCAGGTCTCTGGGGGAGGAAACAGGGGATCCGTTGGTTTTATCGGTTATACCATTAATAATCAGTGAAGCTGAGACCTGAACACGGTCTGACACGAAAGTCATATCTAGTGTGTCTGAGAAACTAAAAGAAAGACCCAGGATGGAGGCAACTAAAGGCGTGCTCCAAGTCCAAGCCAAGGGTCAGGTTGGCTTCTATCACTTGTGTTTCTCTTAATTTGTCCATGTCTTGTGGACCATTAAAGTGGTAAATTAAAAACTGTAATATACTGGTTATAATACTGGCTTTAACTTTTAACCACATTATATCCCAGCTCTAATACTCAGCAGAAGTGTAAATTTGAACAAGTTACTTTGTTTTCCTGAACCTATATTCTAATCTGTAAAATGAAATTATATGAGGTGCTTAGCACAGAGTAAAAGTTCAGTTATTACTATTACATGATCATGCATTTGTTAGCCTGGACTTCCCCAAGGCTTCCTTCAGCAGAGGGAGAAAAGCAGGAGTAGCTAAGAAAGCCCCTCTTCCCTATCTGCCAGAAGCTTCTAGCTCCCTCCCATTCTGGATTTCACAGGAAATGAAGGACAAGAACAGTCAGGTTAAACTACCTATACTTGTGATATATGGCAGCCACTAGCCACATCTGGCTCTTGAGCACTTAGAACATGGCTAGTCCAAATTGAGACATGCTGTATGTGCAAAATACACACCAGAGTTTGAACACTCTGTTTAAAAAATTTTTTTAAATAACTAATACTTTTTAGTATTATCTGTTGAAATATTAGTATTTTTCATATACTGGGTTAGATGAAATGTATTATTAAAGTTAATTTCATCTGTTTCTTTTTATCTTTTTAATGTAGCTACTAAAAATTTTAAAACCATACGTGGCTCACATTATATTTCTACTAGCTTCATTGACTGTGAGACCCTTTGCAGGATGTAAGTGCAGAGCTCCAGATGTCTACCCATTCATCCATTCATTATGGGAGTGTTTGTTATGTGCCAGGCACTATTTTAGGTGCTAGGGATATACAGTTAACAAGTCAGACACCGTTTCTGTCCTACGGGGAAAGGCAACTAATAAGGTCTGGACGTGATAAGGGCCATGGAAAACAAAGCAGAGTCAGAAGTGATTTTGACATGAGAGTTGGTATTTCTGATAGGGTCATCAGTGAAGTGGTATTTGAGCAGGACCTAAATGATGAGAAGATGAAAACCATGCAAAGTCTTGGGGGATAGTCCAGGCAGACGGAACAGCAAATGTAAAGGGTCTAAAGCAGGAACAAGCTTGATGTGTTAAAATAGGAAGGTTAGCAGGAACACGGTGAGTACTGAGAGTACCCTGGCAAGAAGTTTGGATTTTATTCTAAGTGTAATGAGAAATTATTGGGTTATTTTTATATAGAGGTGTTGTGACTTGCTTTATAATTTTAAAAAATGATGCTGACAGTCTGTGGAGCCAGAATGAAGGAGGGTGAGAATAGAGGGGGGTAGCCAAGTTAGGAGGCTACTACCTTAGTCCAGGCTAGAAATGCTGGTGTTGTGGACTAAAGGGGTAGTGGTGCAGGGGGGCTGAAGCAGTCAGATCTGGGATGTATTTTAAAGACAGAGCTAAGATGACTTGCTGAGTGGTGTGGGAAGAAAAAATGAAATCAGGGATGACTTAGATTTTTGGCCTTGACAACAATGTGAGATAGGTGCTAATGGAAATATGCAGAGAAACTTGATGATGAAACAGGTTTTTGGGTAGAACTCAAGACTCATTTTGGATATGGTTAAGTTTGTAATGACTTCAAGTAAACAAGTCTGCATGAAACTTGAGGGACATATTGGGGCTGGATATGTATGTGAGTCAGCAGCATATGATGGTATTTAAAGCCAAGGGAATGGATTATATCACCTAGTACAGAGAAAGTAAAGAGGGCCAAGGGCTTGGCCCAGAGCGGATCAAAATGTGTCAAGGAGCCTGAAAAGGTGCAATTGGTGAAATAGGAGAAAAGCAGATGGTGATTCCAAAACAAAATGAAGAAAAAATCTTTCAAGTAGGGATTGGACAACTGAATCAAATGCTGCTTAAGACTACAGAAGTCTAATTGCTCCAGGCACTTAGAAGCTCCTTCCTTCTGAGCTCTGGCTCCTTAATAAATGCTATCTTGTGAAGGGGAGGGGTGCTCAATTGCTTATGAGTTATGTGACCCTAGGTAAGATCAAGCTGAATTTTGCAGAATGGATTGGAAAGGGGATAGAAGAAAGTTGCCATGCTGGGGACACCCATGTGGCAAGGAACTAAGGGCAGCCTCTGTGAGTTTATAGGCTGACCCTCCCCAAACCTCACCGTTGCTGCTTCCTCATTCCCCAGTCACTCCAGCTAGGCAGAAAGAGCGGAGACAGCAAGCCAAACCTCACCAGTAGCGCAGAAATATCAGAATCACACAGTCTCCAGTGTAGCCAAGCCAAGTTGCTTACCGCCCTCCATTACCCAACAATCTTGTTCCCTGATGAATTTGAAGGTCAATTGCACCAACAGTTAAGTAGCCTAAACTTAATCTTAAAGACTAATTACCAAAAAAATTAAAAATGGTCCCCTCAGCAAATCCTTACCAACATTTTTATGGCAAGAAACTCTTCTTTAATGCTCTAACTTAGGAGGAGAACAGAGGGAGACAAAGGAGAAGGAAAGTACACTGGCCAGGACGCCGAAACTATCTGGTTGGGTATCTGTGACCCAGAGAGGATCCCCCAAAAGACTAATGTGATTCATTACCATCCCAACTAAAACTAATAATGACAGCATTACAATCACACAGGGTCTCCTTCCAAGAAGTTCATGATTCACCTACACATCATCAATTCTCATGCCATCTCCCATCAAGGCAGAGAATGGGGGCAACAAGGAGGCAAGGAGGTGACAGTCCTTGCCGTGAGAGCTCTTTGTCAGAGTCCATTCTCAGTGAGTCAGTCCCTGGAAGTTGGGCTCAGGCCTTGGAGGCAGGGCCACTGGCTGGCTTAGCAACTTGTCCACTATGCTTATTTGAGCATCTTGCTTCTCAATGTCCTCAAATGGAGTCCAGGACAAGTCATGCTGTAGTTTGTAGGCACCAAGGAAGTCATGTGGACAACTCGTTCCCCATTCCTACAGAAGGAAAAGTAGTCAGTTCTGATTAGGGTAAGATGTAAAGACATTTCCTAATTATGCCACAAATTTCTTTTTTGGCTTTTCACTTCAGCCCAGTCAGAATCATCCTGGAAAGCATTACATTATACATCAGATTCCTCCCTTAACAAGATAATGGCTGTGAAATAATTTAAGCACATGTATGTTTTTCAGTCATATCTGGGCTCACACCATCTCCCATTTTCTGGGATACCATTTCCCCACCTCTATGCCTACATTTTCACACACACACCAAAAATTTCTCAAAGACTAGAGTAGATTTTTGTGCAACAATAAATGTCCTTACCTTTGGAGAAATAATAGAAAAATACTGCTGACCACTCTCCCGCTTATAAAGGTAGTAAATGTTGCCAGGCTTTTTCACTATATTACAAGCTACATGGTGCAAGTCAGCATCTCTGCGAGCATCTTCCAATACCTAAGAACCACAGAGAGATAACAATTTAGGTATTGGAGGTAACAGGCAATCATATTCAGTGATCATCCCAATTAAAATCTAGAAACTGTTCAATGTTTATGATCTTGCTTCCTCCCCCCTAGCAATAAATCACTGCTGGGATCCGGATGATTCTGCAGAGACAAAGATTAGACTATAATTACTATGCTGTAAAAATTCCTTTAGAAGAAATATATTCCAAAATGCTAAGCATTACTGGCTTTGAGTGGCTTTTACATTTCTTTCCTACTTTCCTGTATTAAGTACGTTACTTTTATAATTGAAAACATACTTTCCCCTCAAAATGCTTTACCTCACTGAACTTTCTCCTAGTGAAAAACACTTAGCTTATACTTAACCTCTTGGGCTTATTTTATTTTGCTTAATACCTCTGTATTTCTAGAAGGTACTAAAGACAAGCTACAATGATTACAAGCAAGTTCAATCAATCCTATGAACTAAATGAAGAAAATGAAGGCCTGCCTAAAAGCCATGACTTACCTTCCTGGCCTGTTCTTGCAAATGTTGGATTTGCTCAGCGATCACTGTCAGCTTGTTGGTGGCATTTGCTCGGACAAATTCATCAGCCTAAAGGTGAAAGAAAACTGAACTGTGGGTCGAAAAAGGATCAGACTTCTGCGATGTTCTTATTTAGATCCCATTATGAAGAGTTATGTCAACATCTTTGCTTATGCCTAAAATATTCATTCTTCCCATCCTCACCATTCCATGAATTCCCATTCACCTCAAAGCCCAGCTCAAAAAGCACTGCTAATGAGAAGCCAACCCTGACATGACCCCACACCGCAGAATTAAGTGCTCTTTCGTTTCTACTTCCCATAGCTTTCTACCCTTCTCACTCTATGTTCCAGTCACACTGAACTTCTTCTGTCCAATATACCCTGTTCTTTCTTGCTGCCAAATATACTGAATATGCCCTCTCCTCCATCTAAAACATTTACCCCCTTGCTCTTTGCCTGACTAACCCCACTTCAGTTCTCCATTGATTTTCTCATGTTTAAACATTTCTGAAATCAGGATGGGTTTTACAATGAAAATCCAAAGACACTTGTGATATGGCTCTTACCACCTGCTATATAAGAATCTAGCTATATACAGACAAGGTATCTGTTAATATGACCATCACTTCAGTTGAGCTTATATTTACATCCATAATTGTTACTTAAAATGTATTTTAAAAGATTTCACTATAGTGTAGACCTGAAACAAAGTTATAATGTACACGTAAGACTGCCTGTCATGTACTAGAAAATGCAGCTGAAGGAAAGGGAAATCGCTTAAAATAAATCAAATAAATTTGAAAGCTAGGGGAGATGGTGTGACCAATTGATGTATTAGAAAGGATTATCACTCAGTCATCAGATCTGTCAAAAACTTTCAGCTTAATCAGAAAAGCTGATTAATTTCCAGTGGTATACAACTGAGTTAAGGAAAAGAAATTAGGAGGCTAAACTCGAACTAAAAAATAACAATTTGCTGGTTAGGTGAGGGAGCTTAAGGTAAGTCAGGTATAAGCCAGTGTTATGAGTGAACAGAAACAACTAAGTTGGGTCAATCATTTATCTGTTCCACAAATATATATTTAGCAACCTCTGTGTGTCAGACATCATGCTGGTACTGGATGCATTGGCAAGCATGAGAGAGAAGTCCCTGCCTTTGTCAAGATTACAATCTAATGCAACTGTCATTAATATAAAGCAAGTTGCATATGTAACTTTAAATTTTCTTGTAGCAGTGCTAAAAGTAAAAATAACTAAACTTAACTCTAATAATGTATTTTATTTAACCCAATATATCAAAAGCATTATCATTTCAACACGTAATTAATATTTTTAAAATTGTTAATAAGATAGTTTACATTTCATATTAAGTGTGTATTTTATACTCATAGCACCTATCAATTTGGATGCTAAATTTTCATTGGAAATACTTGATCTATATTTAGACTTCATAAAATTTACAGCTGAGCTGATTCACATGCTCATGTTACAAATATACTTAAAAGTTTCCAATAATTATCAGGTTTTTAAATTTAAGTTAATTAAAATTACATAAAATTTAAAATTCAGTTTCTCAGTTGCAATAACCACACATTCTAAGTGCTCAACAGCCATTATGTAGCTAGTAGCTACCATATTATAAAGCACAGCCTTAGTGAGTAATACAGATGTCAAAAAGAAAGATAATTAAAGAATATTATATATACTTGGAATAATGATGCACTATATGAAGGAAACAGCCATAATTGTGTGGTAGAAGCAGATCAAAGAAAACAAATGAAGTAAGTGGTTTAAGACCAGGGAGTGGTGAGGACTGCAGGAACTGGAATGCCTGTGTAGAGGCACTCATTAATATTACTGTCATTTAGAAGGCTAAGTTATAGCCTTCTGTAGCAGAAGGGCTCACTGATGATGTGTCACTGACTTGGGTCTGAATGAAAGGAAAGGGCCAGCCATGCAAAGAACTGGAGAAGCTTCCAGGCATTTCTGAAGCCAAAGCAGCTGAATAGTAGTTGCGGGGGGCAGGGAGGGCTGTTTAGACAGAAGAGGGACCAGATCAGGGCCTATGGCAAAAGAATTTTCATTTTGTTCCAAGGACAATGAAGCATCTTATGGCCAATGACAGAGTATGGTTTCTAGAACTAAAGTAGTTCATTTTTCTTAAGGTGGTGGCAGGAAATCTGTTCCTTGTAAACATAAGTGCCTAATTAAAACAGAAAAGAGTACCTATAATTACTAAGTACAAACTCTATCATTCTGAGGCTCTCTACATATATTATAATTTAATTCTCATAACACCTTGTGAAGTTGGATATATTGACTTCACTTTCTCATTTTAGGAATTAGATTTACAAAGGTAAAGCAACCTGTCCAAGGTTTCACAGCTAATAAACAGCAGTTGAAGATCTGAACACAGATCAGTCTGATTACAAATTTCAGAGCTTTCTGAACACACATTAGTACGTAAAAGGCACGTCAGAGGTCAGTCCTGCTGGAAAGTACATTTCAGTACACAGGCAGTAAATATGCTTGATTCAATTTGTTTGTCTCTAGTGTTTTTGTTTAGGCTTCTCAAACATTGATAATATCAGGGAAATGGAGGCAGCACAATAATGCATTCTCTGTATTTCACTAGATTATAAACTGAAGAACAAAAACTGTGTTCCTTCTTTCTTTGTTTCAGGCCATTGTAATAAACATGATGGTTACTCAGTAACCCATGAAAATGTTTGCCTAAAATTTGGCCCTGGAAACCTCCCTTCCAATAAGAGTGATCTGATTAAACAGACACATGACATTCTTCTAATCCAAAAAAGTTATACTTTGCTCCCTACCTCTCTAGAAAAGAGAAGGCACAAGGTTTGAATCAAAGAAACTTTCCAAAATATTTGAATCTTAATTTAAAAAAACCAAAAAGCTGAAGTACAGAGATGTACACGTGAGGGAATTTGTGCACATTAATTATTAAATATTTTTGAGCTAAACAAAGGCCTTTGTATATAACCAAGGCCAAATGTGATAATGTACACAAGGTTAAGTGGATATCATAAGCTTTATTATTATTTTTAAACCTCACCTGAGGATTTGTTTTTATTGATCTTAGAGAGGAAGGGAGAAACAGCCAACGGTTGCTTCCTGTCCTTGCTCCGCCTGGAGGTCAAACATGCAACCTTTTGGTGTAGAGGACCATGCTCCAACCAACTGAGCCATCCAGCCCGGAAACATCATAAACTTTAAAGCAGCAGGGCCCAGCACAAATTGAAGAGGTTCTACAACTGAAGTCTTGGTAAGAGATTAGACAGAGTTTGGTTTTTCAGAGCTTTAGATCTAGGCACTGTCCTAGTTCAAACTCTGCATTTTATAAAGCTGAGGTCACAGCTAATTTGCCTCAAGTCACAGTGCAACTAAATATCAAAAGTGGGATTAAAACTCATGTGTCCAAATCCCAGTGCTTTTTCTGTTATTTCACATTTCCTCCTTATTTTCCTTCTTTTAGCAATCGATGTCTAAGCACTGGGCTTGTCCAATACTGTGTCCAATGAACGAGGACAGATCACAGAGCCCTTGCCCTTCCAGATGTTGAGTTCTAAAAGCTCTCAGGTCACAGATAAAGATAGTATGGGGAACAGTTTTAAATGGACTATGCACCCCTGCAGAATCTGAGTCAGGGTGTTCTTGAAACTTCCTCGGAAACTTCTCTTCACGTGTCAAATGAGCACTTCTGTACTTAGGGCAGCCCTAAGGGCCAAAGGAAATAATACTGACAGTGCTGTGCACGCCTTCCCACGGAGGGAGAGCACGGCACTCAAGTTGCAGCTGAAAGAGGCCTTGGTCTCAGATCAGAGTCCGAGTCAGGCCACTGACTCGCAATGACAATGAGTTTTTCAGTTTTTCCCGTGTGTCTAATGGAGACATGAACAAATGCTACCCCACGCTAAGCGGCTGTGAGGTCCGAGACGTAAGACGCAGGCCCAAAGTGAACGAACACGGTTATTTACTTCCCCAGCCGCGCCTCCTCACCTTCTGCACCTGCTCTGCGAGCGCCACGAGGTCTAAGGGGTCCCCGGCCCGGTGGGTGTGGTAGGGGCTCACTAGGGCCAGGCCGCCGGGGGTCGGGGTGAGCTCCACCAGGGCTCCTGTGACACACACCCAGGAACACAGGCCGTGAGCGCCCGCCCTCGGCCTCCCGCGGAGCCCGGCAGACTAGCTGCCCCGTGAGGGCCTCTTTTCCCCTTCCGACTCCCGCCCCGCGTACCTCCCCGATCTGTCGCCGACTGAACTTGGTTTTCAGGGACTCCCTCAGTCTGCCCCGGCGCTGCAGTGTCTTCCATGACAGCGCCTCACCTTCCGCACCACGCAGCCGGCCGGCGGCGAGAGAGAGCGCGCACAAAGGCCCATGGGCGGAGCTTCCGTGTTCCCTGGCCAATGGGCGTCAGAGCTGGGGAGCTCGGAGGCGGGGCTCCGGAGTTCGGAGGCGGAGCTCCTGCTGACTGACAGGTTCCGCTGAGGGGTGGAGTCCTGTAAGACGGTGCCTAGCTTCGGGGGCGGGGCTTAACTCG